ATCCCACACAAAGTTGTCTGCACCCCTTTGCACATCTTTGCAGAAAGTAAGATTGAAAGGAGGGTGTAAATTGTCACTAGAGAGTCATAGAGGTGTCAGACAATTCTTTCTTGGTTGTGAAGAATTAGTCGAGATTCAGGGTCGGTTCAAGCTGGAACCTTTAAGTAGCAATCAACTTGATAAGTTAGAGCGCTTGTTTGGATTGAAGGCTTTGCAAAACAAGCGGTTGGATTTTTACAATGACTTCACAAAGACTTTGAGTAAGGCTCGTCCCATTCAGGTTACTCTCTTGCTCTCTTTTTCCTTTTCAAGTTTTCCAAAGTTAGAAGACACAATTCTCATTTTTATGCGGCAAGGGTCCTTTTTTTATGAAATGAATTCTGTGTGGCAGGGTTTTTCTGATTTTATGGATCGGGTTTATAGCATTTTTCTTCCGGGAGGAGTGATTCCCAATTTCTTTAATCATAAGAATAATGGTGTGAGTATAGCTGTAGATGTGTCACAAGTTTCAAGTGGAATTTTCCAAGGGCTTGCGGTATATGTTGTTTATTATTCTGGAAAGGCTTTCGATTCAGGTTTTCCACTTCTGTGTTTAAAAATGGAGGATATCAATTCGTCTGGTTGCTTCTACTACTATAAATACACTCCCCAGTTCATTGGGTACCATGATATAGATGAGGTCATGTGGGTCAGCTACTGGAGAGCTCCAAGTTTGGTGAATAAATGCAAGATATTCAGGATTGAAGTAGAAAATGAAGGATCCCATCCCTTGATGTTAAAAAGGATTGGTTTTCGCCTCTTGTCTGAAGAGGAGCTAGACCTAGTCCCACTGTTGTCTGGTAAATCCTTAACTTCTACAGTTCACACGCCGTTGAAGCTATGAAGTATTGCCAAAGTTTTCAATTGCAAGAGAGAATCCAGCAAGATTGATGATATAGAGTCAAATGCTGTCTAATTGTTCAAGAATTCCAGAACGTAACATGTATTGTTTATGAATCCCAGTGAGAAATAATGTAAAACAATGTCATTAAAGAAAATATTAGCAAACAGTAACCAAAAAGAAGAATGAAGGTGAAATGAACTTAAAACAGGAAAGAAAAATTCGCCAAAAAAAAAAAATAAAAATAAACTTCATTCCAATGATAGATGGAAATTACAAGTACATTTTGAACTCACTTTATGCATTTTATGAGGTGTCAAATGGCTAAAAATATGTATCCAAGTCTAATCATATTTTCTGCACTCAAAGAGTTAATGGGAAAAGCGAGTTGGGTTTACATGAAAGTGATGGTAGTAGGCATCAAAAGCTGATGAGAATG